CGATTGTAGCGGTTGAGAGGGGTCGGTAACCGATGGCTCTACTCAAAATATGGATGACCGCCAAGTTCCTCATAGATTGAGTCAGGTAATTCTGAACCCTATCTGAGAATAACACTATCGGATATTCCCCCATTCGATGCCAATATCACATCATCTTCTCTAATTTCGAAATCGATAACCTTACTCTCTATCAATTTTGCATTAGTAAGTTTGTCCTTAAAGGACACCCAATTGCTTTCCCAACACTCGTAGAGTCCCTTGCTCTGCCCCTCATCTTCCGATTATGTCAAGTCCATGTCACTAGCTTCTTCCCCATTTTCGCCCAAGGTTGTGGCACCAACGTCCTCTTCCGTCAATTGCAGCCGGTCGGGACATTCCTTTATTCTCACCTTCTTGGTCGAGCGATCGTCATCTACGCACGGCGACGCCTTGCCTTTGTCAAGCAGAGAAAAATCGTTCAGTGAGAGCATTTTTTTTCATTTTACAACGCTTTTAAGTTAACTTTAAAGATACATAATACAAAGTTAGTTTTTAGTTACTAAAAATTCTTTTTAATCATCAATAATAATGATAATAATAACAACAATAATATTAAGATACAATATATAACTAATAAATTAGCCTTTTCATACTAGTTTACACTTATTTAAAAATTATTTATATTCTATTATTTGATACAATGTTGGAGTTTGAGATATTAGTTATCGACTTCCTTGTTTCATAATTTATTAAATTCTTGAATGATATATTATCTCTATTATGATTTGAATCATAATTCCATATTAATATATAATCTTATTTACTAAATTTTGTCTTTAAAAATCCAGCTAGAACTTAACATTTAAAAGCTAGTTACAAAAACAATAATATTAACACATTACTAAAGCATAGTATGTATATATAATGTCATTGCATTAAGAAAGACTAACTTTATAGTAAATTATGCACCATTTTGGTAGGCCAAAGAGGGCACTTAAAACCAAGTGGAATTCCCATCTAACTATCATAACCTCCACAAACTGATTTGTCTTCCAACTTTTCAAGACAAAAAAGCAAAGTCCAAATGCATGAATATTTTTGGTATTGTAAAGTACCAAATGTGAATGGCCAATTGATACCCTGCCAAAATAGTAAATAAATAATGAAAAGACAATTCAATTGATATACCAAAAGGAGACTACATAGTCATTGTTGTGTCTTTGGGCTACAAAAATATGGCAAAGATATAATAATGGTGCACTTGTAAGTGTGCTCATAATTATCCCATTCAATAATTGTTGAGTGTACTAATGAATTCCACATGTTTGTTTGTTTTTTTAAAAATAAACTGTCTCTAAATTCAATAATATGAATATCTTTATCAAGAATGATTCAAGAACTAAATTATCTTTATTGTCACTAATTAAAATTGATATCAAAATATGTTACTTTGACCAAAGTCAAAGCACTATGCATATTTTTTAGTTAAGAAATTCAATTTTACATAATATACAATAAATTATATATTATTGGATTTATTCAATAGATGGTGTTTCACTTAAAAGTGGGATAAGATATTTGCTTTTACCTAATATTACCCAAAATTAAAAAATTAAAAAAAAAAATCTATGTTTTTAATACACCAACCCATTTGACTAAATCACAAAGTTTGTAATGATAATGGGATAGCACACATGCTTAGACCAGTGTATTAAAAATCTTATATTTCTTAATTATAAAAACATATAAAATTGTTAAAACTACAATCAAATTTTAGAAGTTAGAGTGGAATATGGGATGAATGAAAATAATTATTTTTATTGTTTTAATATGTATATCATATGTTTTTATTGTTTTAACATGATGTTATTTGAAATTAGAGTTTTTCATTTATAAAAAAATTATTTTGACTAACAAAATTTAATACAAGTTATGATATGGACCGTCAATTATTATTGACAGAATGATTAGTATTTTTATACTCTCTATAAAAATATCAATTTGAGTTAGACTGTATATTTTCTGTGTTATAATTAAGAGATTAATTATGTTATTTTTTTTTTGTTATAATACTAATTGTAGTATCATTAACATGCAATTATTACATAATTATTGAAACGTATTAGTTTCAGGTGGAAAAAAAAAAATTAGGTTGTAAATCACCGAAAAATATGGTAAATTAGTACAAGAAAAATGCGAGTTTTCCTACAACTAAGACAGCATGTGGCGCCCTAAAAGAAAGCCACTTAGGTATTTTGTCAATCAGCAAAAAGTGTAAAAAGGAAAGGAAAAACCAGGAGGTTTGGGCTTACACAAGTTAGGTTAGAAATTGAGATTGGGTTTTGGTTATGTGAGGTTTGGGCTCTAGATTTTATAATGGGTTGGGTTATGGAATGGATTTAAGATGGGTTACTTTAATTAATTGGCTTTAATGAGTTTTGTGGTAATTTTCAAAGAATTTGGATCCAATTATACACACACATATTCATATATATTATCATTTTAAAATTTTAAATCTTGTTTTGTAAATTGTTTATTCTCAATATTCATTTAGTAAAAAAAAAAAATTTAATTAAGTGGCTACATAATTGTATGTTAATAATGAGCATTGCAGTGGAGATATATATGAATGTCAAAGTCAACAATAATAATTAATATTTTAGTTTGATAGTATGAGTTTGAAATTAAATTAGATATGAATTCAAATTTTTAAGTAAATTTGAGTGAATAAATTGAATTGTCGGATTTAGACCCAATTCTTTGAATTCAGATTTTACTTTTGATCAGCATTTCTCTTTCAAATTGATTTACGATAAATTAAATTGAATTTTACAATTTTTATAGAATTGCATTGTACAATTTAAATAATTAAAATTATATAATTCTAACAAAAATGCTATTGACTATGTTGTTTGGTGCTTATTATATAATGCAAAATTAGGAGTGCAAGAACAGCTATGAAAAATATTTTCTAAAGATAAAAGTTTTCGGTTCAAGTTATATATTATTATTTTTCTAAAATATGTTGTGTATATATAAATAATTATATATGGCCCTAATTCAGAAAAAGAACAACTATATATCTTGCCCTTAAAATAATATTTACGTAAGGAAGTTCATTAAAAAATTGTAACTGTAACTTCAGGTGGTAATTTACCAGAATGATCTAAATAAACGAGTCAAAACTCAATGCAAACAGAAGTTACGACTCGGCAGAAAGGGTTTGTGTTCCGAGAAGGAAGAAATTTGATCCAAAATGCTGAGACTAAATCGAATTCTAACCCAAGCGAGATCTTCTTCGTCTTCAATTTTCATTTGTCAACATCAACTCCTCTCTCATGGAGACAACACCAACCTCTTCTCGCTCCCTTCTCAGCACTTTGCTCTCAAATCCTCTAATCGTTTCCTTGACATTTACCAGGTGCGTTAACCACTTCCCCTTTTTCCCCCTGAAACTTCTGTTTGTTTGAAAAAAAAAATAAAAACCGCGAGAAAATAACGTATTTGAAGCAATTTTTTTGTGTTTTTTTTACTGAATTTTCCTGTCGTGTAGATTGGGAACAAGGCGGCCCTCGAGAAAGAACGCGAAAGATTGTGAGTTTTGGTTTCATTTTTCTTTCATTTCCTTTTTGGAGGATTTAGAATGATTTATTTGATCAATGTACCGGAATGTGATTTAGGGCAGTGCTGATGAGATGAAACGGGGATACTTCGCTGACCTTGCGGAGCTTAGGAAACATGGCGGTAAGGTAATCCAAAATCCTAATTTGGTAACTTTATACTAGTTTATGATTTATCTCCACTGCACTTTGGCTTTTTCATCAGAAGCTCAATATAACAGTAATTTTGCTTGGTATTCATGAAGTTGAAGGTTTGTGCTACTTTATGTGTTTATTTACATTTGCACTTTGATTTTTCTTTTTGTTAGAAGCTCATTATAGCAGTAATCTTTCTTGGTATTCATGAAGTTGAAGGTTGTGCTCTTAACCGTATGAATAATGGAGTTGTACATGTTAAACAGATTGCATTCGCAAACAAAACTATAATTCCTGCAATGGCTGGTTTGAGGTTTCCTGACTTAATTGTCGATTACTCGGATGGTAGAACTTTGAAATTTCCAGTTAGTTCCAATAGGAATGCTGTAGAAGTAGAGAATGTGGGTGTCCCCAGAGCATCTCTACTATGTCTTTCTTTTCGAGCAAGCTCTCAGGTACGAAATCCTTTGGCTTTTTCGTGGTGTAATTATATAGTTTAAACTGTAATTCGTTGCACACCCTGCCCATAAGTTTACTATTATTGTTATTTTTGGTAAGAACATGCAACATTAGGCCATTGACACGTCAGATGTTGGTAAACATTTGTAGTATTTGTTGGAAAAACAGTGGAAGGGTAAGCTAGAGATGTGTAAGAATGATTGTCCTTGAGCCTTAAGGATAGTTCCACCTTTAAATTGTGCGGATGGTATAATGCAGTATCTAAGAATTTGACAGACCTTTCAAGAGTTTTTTTATGCACTCAGAAACTAGAGAACATGAATAATGTATAGGAGAAGGAAACCGAAAATGTTTCTGTTGGCAAGTATCTAAGGCAACCCAAGATGTGGATGAATTGAGTTTTCTAAAATTTAAACAAGTTAAAAAGAAGACAGTAAGCATTTAGGAGCAAATTACTCAAACAACCAAAAATTGATTCACAACCCGTAACTTAATTTAATATATAAATTTAAGAGAGTAGGAAAGACTGAAAACTCAGTACATAAAGGTTCTGCCACCAATCTTGTGCATACATCCTTTACTCAAGCATTCACTAGGGATGATGCGGAAGGGTCAACTAACGTGATAAAAAACCCACATATACTTCAGTATTTAGAATCTTTAAACTCGCAACAAGTCCTCCCTACTTGACTTACTTCCAACATGTGAATGTCAACCAAGGTAATTGGGATGATGACTTGAATTGATTAAATGCCACAAGATGGAATCTTAATTAATGAAATCAATTTAAGAAGGATTGATAATATGTAGAAGAATTTATCTTGATAAGTGAATAAATTCCCACTCAACAAGAAGATTGAAGAAAACATCAATAGTTGAAAACTAAAAACTCATAATTTTATTATTTTCAAATTTGAATGAATACAATTAGAAATTGAAAACCTATATATAGAGTATGTCATGTGCATTATAAGAAAACAAATATCCTAAATTAATTATAGAAATGATAAAAAAATTAAATTTTGACTTAAATGAAAAAATAATAAAAATTAAGAAGATTTGGATTAGGATAGGTTAGATAAGATATTATCTTTTTAAATGAAAATATTTTAATTAATTGTGTAGAAATTAGGGGAAGTAAATATGGTTAATTAAAATTGGTCATTAAAAGAGCAAAGAGTCCACCCCTATCTTTTCTAAACCGTGGGGTTTAGTTCTTTAAGGAATAAGATTTGATTTTCTTTTCTTTTAAGATGTCACATGATTTGGGAAGAAGTCTTCCCTCTTGGTTGATTCTCCCTTTAAAGAAATTCTTTTCCTTCTCATTGTTCTCATCATCTCATTCCTCTTCAAAAATGATTCATTCTTGAATCGGACATTTCTTATGTTGGGATTTCATCAATTCTATTTTTTTTTTTTTTTTGAGAAAATGTCATTGGTTGGGATGTTGTATGAGTTCATTGCAAAAATTTGTAAGGAATTATTAGTAAAGAAAATAACACTCTCTCACATGTTTCACTCATGTTTTACTCAACTTCCTTCCTTCACGTTGAATGTTAGAATTAAATTTTCTTGAATTAAGATAATGAAGTTTTGTTTATGACACTTTAAAGAATTCTAGGGATAACAAGTGTTAAAATAATTCTAAAAGTAATAGTTTAAATACAAGAATGAAGATAATGTGTGTTTTATGTATGATGTTAAGTAACTATGGTGCAATTAGCTATTTAAAGATGTAATGGAATAAAACCACAATGAAAGAAGGAAACTTAGAGTGCAAGGAAGATAATATGAATATGAACTTTTTTGTTCTTTTTTTGTTTGTGTATGAAAGGCTGCAAAATATGTTTTTTTTTTTTTATTATGAAAAATAACAAATATGTAAGGATAAAGATGTAGAATAATAAGATTTATCTCGAGGCTAAATTCTGATACCAATGGTGCGGAATTCAAGATAAACTAACGTGATCAAAAATTCTATATATATTCTAGTATTCAGAATCTTTAAACTCGTAACAACCCCTCCCTACTTGACCTACATTCAATACGTGAATGTCAACTAAAGTAATTGGGATGACGACTTGAACTGATTAAATGCCACAAGATGGAAAGTTGATAAGTAAAATCAATTCAAGAAGAATTGATAAAACGCTACAAGAATTTATCTTGATAAGTTGAATCAATTCCTACTCAACAAGAAGGTTGAAGAAAACTTTATTAGTTGAAAACTAAAAACACATAATTTTGTTGTTCTCAAATTTGAATGAGTACAATTAGAAATTGAAAATCTATTTATAGAATAGGTCATATGCATTATAAGAAAATAAGTCTCCTAAATTAAATGTGGAAATTACTAAAAAAATTAAATTTTGCTTTAAATGAGAAAATAATAAAAATTAAGAAAATTTTGAGTAGAATAGTTTAAATAGGATATTCTCTTTTTAAATGAGAATATTTTAATTAATTGTAAAAGAATTAGGGGAAGTAAATATGGTTAATTAAAATTGGCCATTAAAGGAGCAAAGAAGCCACCTATATCTTTCCTAAACTGTGGAATTTAGTTCTTTAAGAAATAAAATTTGATTTTCTCTTCCTTTAAGATATCACATGGTTTAGGAAGAAATCTTTCTTCTTGTTTGATTCTTTCTTTAAAGAAAATTTTTTCCCTCTCCTTGCTCACATAAGGAGATTTTCACTATCTTCAACAATTACTCTTACAATGGCTAGTTGAAGAGGTGTATAACTTACCATACAATGTGTTTTTCTCTTCCAAAGAGACATCCAAGATGTTTACCCCATGTATCTTAACAAAGCCTAATATTCTTAATGAATTCAACATTTTTGTTCAACTATACTATTACAATCAGGCATGTTAATTTTGTAGTACAAGAAATTTGTATGTTACGCTAGGATTAGAATAACCAATAAACATGCAGTCAGAAATTTTTTTAATCATTTTCTCTCTTCTTAGGGACATGTAACATAAACTTAGCTAGACACTTCCACACTTTCAAGTATTTCAGGTTAGGAAGATAATCTTTCCATAATTTATAATGTGTTTTTCCTATTTTCTTATAAGGAAATCTTTTTTTGTTGACAATATGCGGATAAAATTGCTTCACCCCAAAGATTTTTAAGTGCAGAGGAACTAACAAACATAGAATTCATCATTTCCTTTGGAGCTCTATTTTTCTTTTCAACTATTCTATTTGATTCAAGGGAATAGGGAGGAGTAACTTTATATATTTACTCCTTTTTTACAATAATATCAAACAATACATAATCCCACCTCTATCGGATCTAACTCTTTTTATTTTCCTATGCAATTGATGTTCTACCTCGGGTTTATATAAAAGAAGCAAGTCAAAGGCTTCATCTTTATTTCTTAACTAGTATACCTCAACATATCTTAGAGTAGTCATCCATAAATATCATATAATATTTTTTATCATTCCTAGTCATAATTTGTTTTGCAAGTCAGAGTGAATTAGATACAACATTTCAGTTTCCCTTTGAACAGATGAACAATTTTTTCCGTTAACTTTGTTTCAGCATATATTTCATATTGCAGTAATAAGATCAAGTGTTTGCATTTTTTAATATGACCAACTAACATGTCTTAATTTAGCATGTAATACATCATAAGAGTCATTTTTTCAAAAAAAAAAAAAAAAAAAAAAAAGAAACATCATAAGAGTCAAACAAATAGATGGAAGAAGTAGGCAAATAGCAGAAAATACAGCATTCTCATTAATCACTTTAGGAAAGTTGAATATAAAAGTTCATGTACAAATACTCTTTCCCACAAAAACACTACTTTTGTTAGATTTGAACAACACCTTAACCACAACTTTTCCCGATGGCGAAATTGGTATCAGGTTGTAATGTTGGGAATGTGCAACTCCTCACCCAAAGATAAA